AAACGTCGATTCCTGGTGACGTTTTTGTGGGCATTTTAACCTAAAACAGATGCCAACAAGTCTTTCAAGCGTAAATTATTAGCTGAAAGTTTCGTAGAAACGAAGATATACTCTTTTTGGCTTTAATACTCGTTGTGAGCACCATAACTGGCGTTGTGAGGCAAGACCAAGCGCAGTGCTTTTTTGTCTGGTTTTAATATGTAATTCAAATGGCAAAGAATACAATTTTCAATCTACCCAAAAGCAAATCAAAACGTTTTTTAACAATAGTTTTTCTTGCAATAGTTCTTACTTTTTCTTTTATTGAAAATTATTCTTCATATTCAAAGTCATCAGATTAACAGAAGAACTAATTCAGTCCGAGGTAAATCAGGTTTATTTTATTTCGTATACGCTCGCAGTGATGGCTCGAGTGAACATCAACGGGGGTGTTTATGAATATTTCAACAATTTTCACAATCTGTAGGATACCACACATACATGTGTTTTATCCTGAGCTGAAGACTGACCAAAGTTATGTAACATACAAGACAACTGTTCACGGTAAGGTTGGACATGCCCTGAAGTGGTGCTTTGTCCTTTGATATATGGACCAGATAGATTATTTGTTTTTGGACAATTAGATCTTCAAATGTGAAGGTAAATTCAAAGGTCAAGGTGAAAATAATAGGTCAGTTTGGAAAAGGTCTTGTCCAAAGGGGCATTGTGTCCAAATATGAATTAATTCCACTTACTTATAAAGAAGTTATGACCAATGTTAAGGTTTTGGATGTTCTAGAAAGGTCATTCACGGTAGCAAGGTAAATAAAAAATACAGCATTCAGTTTGAAGGTCTTGCCTAAAGGGGTGATTTGTTTCAAAAATATGAGTAAAGAATCCGTATACTATAAAGAAGTTATGACCAAATTTTTAAAGCTTTTTGGACAATTTTGGAGCCTGTAAGGTGAAGGTCATTCAGGGGTCAAGGTCAAAAGAATAATAGGATAGTTTGAAAGGTCTTGTCCAAAGTATGCTGTTGTTGTCTACACATTATGCCAGGACAGTATGGCCAATCTTAAATGTTTTTGGACAATTTGACCTTCAAGGTAAAGGCCATTCAGGGGTCAAGGTAAAAATACAGGTCCGTAGAAAAGGTGCTAAGGGATGTTGTGTTCAAATATGAAATCAAAATCCGTTTACTTATAAGGAAATTATGGCCAATGTTAAAGTTTTTTCGGACAGATTTGACGGACTGGCAAGACGGACAGTTTTCAAGCACTAATATGCCTCCCTTTGGGGTTATGACAACGTCTTGCAAAGAAAATGTTGCTGTGCAAAAACGTTTTTAATTGGCTGTTGGTAAGATTGAAAACTTATATTTTCACGCATCTGAATTACATATTAAAACCATAAACACGCACTGCGGCTTGTCTTGCTCACAACGAGGTTATGGTGCTCACAACGAAGGATTAAAGGCAAAAAAGGGTATATATTCGTTTCTACTATGGAGACCTTCCAGATAATAATTACGCTGAAGACTTGTTGGCATCTGTGTTTAGGTTAACTGCACAGAAACGTCACCAGAATCGACGTTTTTCAATGTTAATTAGGTCCAAAGAGAAGTTGTCTCCAGTTTTCTAGCTACCCCGAGTGACTGCGTCGCCACGGTATTTCCATCAAATTGTCCACCAACAGGCAATATCTCTACATGTGGCATACTCGGAAAACACATCGCTAGCTAACTGCATTTCGATATTGTTACATAAATGTCTGTAATCTTCAAAATTATGAAAAAACACTCACCTTGTTTATCGTGTCACACGTCCAAAGATGGGTGCTCACAACGAGGAACGGAAGTTGCTCACAACATTTTTACCGATGGACATTTTTCACTCGTTGTGAGGTTAAACGGCGTGACGTAATAAGTTTTTGTTCTTAATTAGGTGTAATTCTGACTAATTACCTAGAGGTTATTCTGTAACGTACCGACAAACGGTATTTAGCCAGGTTTTTCGAAAAGGTCAATTAACCAATCGTGTACGGTTTACAGATCACATGCTCCTCCATTTACCGAAAACAGGTCACGTGCTCCTCCATGCCTCAAAAAGTTAAAACGCGTACCAATACCCTGCGGTCTCCAGACCGCAGGGAACTATGACCACAGCAGATTTCGTACAGAAAAATGCATTATATACGTTTAATTATACACCCGAACAAATTTCGGGTATATTGTTATGCACCTGGTTGTTCCGTCCGTCCGTCTGTTAGCAGGTTTTTGTTTTCGGTTTCAAAAATGTTAACCATAATCAGATGATACACAAAGCGCAGGTTTGGACCTTTCTCATGGTCACACTTAGGTCATTTTTGTATCAATATCAAAATGTTGTGTCCGCTCTGTATCTTTGAACAGGTAAAAAGAGATTAAAACTTTTTTTGCAGAAATATTACTTATATTGAGACGGTGTGCAGAACACAAGTTCGGACGGCCTAAGATCAAAATTGGCCCCACCTCGTGGATTAATTGAAAATATATAGACTTTTTCTACGAGTTTTCGTGTCCAGTCTGTATCTTTTGAACTGGTGGAAAGAGATTGAAACTACGTACTTGGAAGAAATGTTAATCATTATGAGACGATGTGCAGAGTGGCGTTTTGACCTTCCTTCAGGTCAAGGTTTATACTTACTTATTTTGTAGCAATATCAAATTTTGTGTTCGCTTTGTTTCTTTTAAGAAGATTGTAGGAAATTAAAGGTATTCGCAAGAGGATATTTATATATAACTGAGATGATGTGCAGAGCGCAGTTTTTTGACTACCTCGTTCAAGGTCACAATGACTCGCGCTCAAAATTCTTATATAAGTGTATATTATACAATATAAGTGTATTTATACAAAGGGTGATTTACAATGTATGAATTCATTAATATGTTCCTCCAATATATACAGTGAGTATAGTTACTCCCTTCATTTTCCAAAATCTATTACTTTTAATGCTCTTTTAATCAAACAGTTTTAGATTTTTTTTATGTTTAGATTTTAATAATTGAGAAGATTATAGGTTTATATGATTAAATTATTTGAAATTAAGACAATCTTATGATTGAAACTGATGTTACTTAAAATATGTAAATCGCATAAATAACAATAAGTTGTAAATGATACATATAAATGTCGATTTTTTAAGGCAATATTATCAAACTTTTGACTGAATTACCGTACCGGCAGTATGAAAAAGAAAGAAATAAAAATACCCCCAGTTGTTAATTTACAATGCTACCTCCGTTTTGCCATATTGGCAGTCTTTCTCAAATTGAAAGACCGATATGGGTTGAAGGGCTGATGTAAAGTGGCTGCACCTGTTTTATTATACATTAAAACAAAATACATTCTTGTATATGTTTTAAAGGAAGAAATACAATTATGATAAGTCGAGAAAGTTTAGCCCATGACTACTACTGCATTTTTTAATTGCTAAAATTTAAAAGCTTTAAATCAGGGGAGGTAATAATAACACATTTTCATATGCACAAAAAATATTATATTTATGTAAAAGCTTAGATATTTTGCATGAAGCATGCCTTATCGACATAAACAGCATTTATATAAATCATGCTCAAGGGGTAAATATTGGCCCTGCCCCAGGCGTCACATAGATAGAAAAACTTATTTTCAAGCATGTGTTATTTCAAGATTATGTAAAGTTTTAAATCTTTGGCATGTATCATTACATAGGAAAACCTTGCAAAGTGTTTCAAAAATCATTTCCCTGATATTACAAAATGGCTATGTCCAGTGGGTTGGTTGGGGGATGGATTGGTTTCGCACAGTTGACTATCTTGATTATCATTAGGCTTATATTTTGCGTTATCATTAAAAACCAACATAAAACGATCATTATTGTTGTTTTTTTTACTAAGTATACATGTATATCTCCGTGACAATTTCATGGAGGTAAATAATCATCACTCTGTGCTTCGTAATAAGCCTTTATATAAAGTGCATGGCTGGTGATATGTCTGGGGTGTCCCACAGCGAAAGCTGCGGCATATATAATTGTCACTAAGTAATCACGAGACAAGAGCATAGCGCTTTGGCATGTATCAATGTATATCTTAATATTGATACAAAATGTAATTGAAATAAAAATATTGTGAACAAATGTAATAAATAGGTATCCTCTTTGTTTACTTTTTTTTGATAACTTTAAATTTTATTCTCTTAAAAACAATTTGTATTCAGGCCTAAATTGCCATGCCTATGCGATTGGAGCCAAATCGCATGCTTTTACATTTGATGAAAGGCGCTCTTCATTGTTGATCGTTGTATATAAGTCTATACATGTAAGATTATGTGGGCCAGATTTAGATCATGATTTAGCAAACATGTTTATAAGGTCCAAAAAGCACATGCTTCGAACCAAATATCTAAGATGAGGCATTTGGGTATACAAATGTCTCTATGTGAAATTAAGTGATCCCAAGGTGGGGCCAATTTTAACTCCAGAATCTTAATTTATGCAGACTTTTTAACCATTAGGCAATAATTCAGTCCAAATATTTAAGCTTCGGTAAAACTGTTCCTGTATGAGACTATGTTAAATTTAAATAACTCCCCGGCAGTAATTCGTTTCACGTCGCAACATCACTGTTATATATGGCAATTTTCAGCTTAACTGGTAGAGGAAAATGACAGCTGCTTTATACCTAAAGCCTTAAGCTTTTTGAAAAGATTCACTTTTAGATTATACTTAATCTTCTGTCAAGTAGATACTCAATAGACCGGAGCAATATGATTTCTTTAGAGACCTTTAATTTGACATTGTGGATGCCAAACAGGCTTCATTGCAATTGATTTACATAAAAATATAATTTGATGGATTGGCAGAATTAATAACATGAATATTCATTCTTTAGTTTTTGTCACTTTTCGAAAGATATATTTAGATTTAATTGCGATTTATGACTATTGGGTCATTTTAAGTTCGTTCCGCTCAAGAATCTCTTTTCAGTATTTCGCCAGACCGGATTGTACAGTACCGTGAACGCAGCAATTAGCGAGTTAATATTTTCGCGCCACAAGATTCAGAATCAGATGGAAAATACAAAACATAAAGGTTATTGAAAACATACGTGGTTGAAATCGAGAAATCGTTTTGCGTTGAAAAGGAGGTAAATGCTGTTTGATGCTATTATTCATATTCACTAATAAGAAAGACATAAGTCATTAGTTTAGACTCCACTATATGCCCAATCTCCTACGCAGACTCCAGATCTGTCAAGGGAGGTAATCACTGAGGAGTTCTGTGTTCACTAAGAAAATATCAGGACCAAATGATCCTGATTTTATAGTCATTGTTTTTAAAAAATAAAATTATCCTGTTTTGCTAGAATTAAATGATACTTATTCAAAGTAGTTTGGGATAAAATTTATGAATAACAAAACAAAATAAGAAATAATCAGATTAAAATAGGGTCAATTTTTGGATCAAGATCAATATTTGGATCAACGGTAAAATGTCTTGCAAAAATAGCAATAAATTTATTCCAAGATTTTATAAACATGCCTTTTCAAGTCCAATTCTATCAAGTTAATATTTAATCTACAGTATGAGTATAAAAAGGATAATATTTGAGGTTTAAAATTTGATCCTGATCTTGATCCTTAAATCCTTAATCATGGGTTCTCATATTTTCGTGGCATTGCAAATGACAGCTCGTGCGATTGATGTAACTATCCAAAAAGCAGTCAACTTTTAGCTGACACTTGTTTCTACTAATTACAACTGTTAGAGTGCGTTCTTAACATACAAACACACATGAAATTAAGATAATATTTATAATATAGCTCTTATATTATTGTTAATTTGTAGTATTGCCCCCAAAATACAAAGAACAGACAATTATTTGTGTTGAATTTTCCCATCCTCAAGCTGCCACAGTTGTTGACCTTGCAAGTGCCATTGCAGTGAACACTTTGTCTTGTATAATGCACAACAAAAATTTGTCACAACATGTTAACTAATATCAAATTAAAATTCAATTAAGAGTGTCAAATAGATGTTTTTTGTTGTATATTAAAAATTTTACAACCTATTTGCTAGGCAGTTTATAGTCAATTGTATTCTTATTTACACTTTATAATTCCATGGAAACTATTCCTCCATACTTAAAATATGACAAACAAAAATTAATATACCAAATATGCCTTTGACCCATATTTTCGATATTTCAAGATTCAGTTTTTAAATAAATAATAAATGGATGACATAATCACATGGTCAAACATTTTGACAAGATGGCGGCCAATATGTGCTGAATTTTTTATCTATCGGAAACTATTAGGTAGTTTATGTTTGTAATACGTTTTTTTTTATCTGTCAATACTTGGCTTATCAACAGATTAAATGTAGTTTTATCTGGATATACTTCACTTTACCAGTCAATGAATTTAAGATTTTAAATTTACTAGCCCGAATTCCAGTTTTGAATTTATTCTACTATAATTATATTTAACTAAATTTTCTTAAAATTTTCATTGGCCCGAACTAACTTTTACTGGCCATGGGCCACCGTGTCAGTTCTAAATTTGATGACTGCTTTACTACATGGCATGCTAGATTAATTAATTTGAGTGTGTCAGATTCCTGGCATAATTATTGGTGGACAGGTCTGTCTTCAGCGTTCATGTCATGTCACAGTATATAAATGGGACCCACAGTGTTCAATCTAGAACAAATTCCCAGGGGGGCCTTCGGGCCCATAAACTTTTCAAAAGGGGGTCATTTGAGAAAAAAGGGGGCCCACACTTAAAAGAACATCAAATTAAAATAAGGTATTGTATCTTTTAAGTTACTTGTTGACGTACCATATATAGACTAAAAACGGTTGCAAAATTCCAAAACAATCAACTCACTAAAATCAAAGCACTGAATGTACTGATGGGGAGGCTATGAGAGAATGTTTCAGACTTATAGTGTCTTTTCTTTTTGCTTAAAATATGCTACCAAAATAAAAAGATATGCACATTGCGCTATTTATCCTTACTGTTGTGTTCAAACATTCATATACAGGGCTCGACACTTACGATGGTCCGTTAGCCCGAGGCTACCAATTTTCCCCCAAGGACTACCCGAGTTTCCAAGCTGGGTATCCCGTCGGGCTACTCAAAATTTCAGTGACCTGATGTCTCTAAATTCACTAAAAATAATTAATAAAATAACATTTTTTAGGATATGATTCAAAACGAAAGATAAATTCATCTTACTTGTAAATAATTAGCCGTTGCCACTTGGGTCACTAGTGTCAGACGCATAATAGATTCTATTTAATCTCTATAAAGTTGCGAAAAGTGAAACCGGAAGTCCAACTTAATTGCCGATTTTTCCAGCCTACTTCAATAGAATTCTTTGTCTATTAAACATTTCAATGAAAATATTTGCTCATTTTGGAACCTATTCAAGGGTTTTAACTTAAAAGAATATGATTTGTTGATTGATGTAAATCACACTGACAATGATAACCAAAATAAACGTGTTGTCTGAAATAGATCTGATTTCGGATGTAATTTATTCGGACATGAAATTATTGATTGGGAAAAAATCTCTTTATAAAAAAAGAGAAGAAAAATGTTTAAATCTCTTTAAAAAAGAGAAAAGAAATATTCTAAAGTATTTGTAATTGTCTTTGCCATAACTTCACAATGTTGTAAGCACTTCTTAATCATGTACAAGCAAATGTAAGCAATAATGCAAATACATGTATATGAAGAAAAAAATTGTTAACAAATACTTATACCCTAGGCATAAAAAACTAAGGCAATATAGTTTGATTAAAAATGGCTTTACATTTCTAATTTCGTGTTTAAATCAGGGATAACAGATATTAATCTAATGTCCCTATTTAAATCTTCTGACAGTTAAATAACTGAATTACTAGCACTAGTAATTTTAAGTTTGTTATTCTGATATATTGTTGTTTTATGTCTGACAAAATAAGTTTGTAGAATAAATCGATTAGAGTAAAGACAAACACATTTTGTTCTTGTCCAAGCTTTTTACTTCTGTTTTGAATTTAAAAACACATCTAAAAGGTCATACATTATCTATACCTGGAAGTAGATTTGTAAGCTCTATTGAATTTTTTTTTAATACAAAAAGGTATTACATAAATTTAAAACTGACATACTTATTTAGCTCATTTTGCCAATATATTCTCCCCTTCCTTATAAGTTGTCAATAATATAAGCTGAGCTGATTGCCTAGCAATTTTATTTGCAACACACCTTAGTAATTCCTGGCTAGAACCCTGTACCTGTAGGTAATGTCTGGCCTTTCAAAACCTATTGACTTTTGTGTGTCACACTGCCATATTTTATAACAAAAATATGTAAAAAAATTGTTGATGATGACTTTGAAGAGCTCAGAGGCTAGCCGGAATCTCATGCAGAATAAAGCTTACAAACTTTTACTAGATCTTATATGATTATCTATTGGTGATTTTTTCCAATAGATTTGAAGAGATCTCATGCTATTGTTTTCTTATCTTCAGATACATACACCCAAAATGCATTTAAATAGAATAAGAAACATTTTTTATGTTTTACAATGAGGACTACCTAGATTTGCCAAGGACTACCTGATCCTCAAAGTAGGTAGTCCTTCTGACTACCCCTAAAAAAAGTTAGTGTCAAGCCCTGATATATATGGTTAATGTGGTTGACTATTCATTTTGTTAATATTCCAGAACATTTCATTGAGGTCTACATTCGGACTGTTAATCATACAAATTTTGAAAAACCTAAACTGTCAATAATAAATGACATACCAGCAAGTATGACGACTGTTCATTATCAGATAACAATAACATTTTACAACTGACGGTTCCTTATCAAAATCACAGGAACTTGAAATTCTATCAAATAACCAATATTAATTATAATATCCAAATATACCCCCTATATACTATAAAAAAACACAAACACAGGAACTTGAAATTCTATCAAATAACCAATATTAATTATAATATCCAAATATACCCCCTATATACTATAAAAAAAATTTATAGTATATAGGGGGTATATTTGGATATTATAATTAATATTGATTATTTGATAGAATTTCAAGTTCCTTTGTCAAAATATTCTAGGACTGTTCATCATAAATACTTTATGTCATTTTAATATTATTGAATGATAATAACAACTGCAAGTGATGCAACATTTTTATTGAACATAAAAATTATACACGTTTAGATGTACCATAATTGAGATCAATAAGATACTGTCTTGTGATGAGTATTAATATTCATGCTCTACGGACAGAAGGTTGTCTTCTCCAGAAGCAAATCTCAAATAAAATCACGTTTCAGAAAATTATTCCCATTTCATTACTGACGGCATCGGATAATATTAAAGCTAAATATTTCTTGAAAAAATACATATCTGCAAAGCTTATTCAAAACTGAATCAACCTAAGTGAAAATTGATCAGGAAGTTATATCTTCTTTTTTACCGCCAACACTCAACCAACTAATGGTAGTTAATCGATAGCTTGTGTATTTTTAAACCTCACTAGCTTGAAATATATACTGCGGAAAATCTGTTGTTAACAGGGTGTGCGGTTATTACGTAGGGTTTTCCCTGTCGACCATTTCCCGCAAATAGATGAGAACATCGAAGCCGTCAGTGCTATGAATGATGTTATAAATGGCGTGTTTTGGAAGTTTTTGTTGAAACTTCTCCAATTTCCTCCAGAGGCGTGCACGTCGCGGAGAAGGCACACGGAAGGACATAGTCAAGTCATCATAAGTACCAGAGGTGATTGGTTGACCTGTCGTGACTTACTCTGGAGGTTTGGCGCTAATAGATGCCGTTTTTGTTGTCGTCAGTCAGAAAGTTGATGCCTTGACGGTATTGTCGTCTCCTTTACCATCAAAGAACGAAGAATGGGCTTCCAGGAAGAATCTGCTTGAAAAAGACGTCCCAGATGCTATAATCTCGGACATATGGTTTATTCCGGCGCCGAGTATAAATAAACTTAAAACACACTCACTTTTGTTGAAAACAAAACAAAAAAAAAACAACACATTTTCTGTAGTAATTTTTTCAAGTGTTGTAAAATGAAAAAGAAATTCCTCTTATGCCGCCGATTATTTTTAGAACACAAACATAA